GGGGGGGGGGGGAGTACTCCAATATATGGGCTATGTAGGTATATGCGGCCCCAAAGGGTATGGTTTTTCAGCCGTTTTGGTCATAAATAGGGCATCGATTTTGGCCATTTTGGTCTTAAATAGGGTATGGTTTTTGCACTCTAGTCTTAAAGAAGGTATGTTGTTTGGAAGAAGCTACTTTTTCATCATTATCGATAAGACCATCAACAAAAGCCCTTCAAAAATTATGTTTGGGGCAACTGTGTCAGCCGCAACGGTCATAGGTAGGATATCGAATTTTTGGTCTGGTCATAAATAGGGTAGGGGAAAATCGCAGATTTTAGTCATAAATAGGGTAAGGGGCCGGTTTGGAAGCGGGCTCACACCCCCACCAATTTTTTCTGGGAGAACCCCCTCGGGGGTAAAATACTAGGTAGAAGATTGTATTCACCAATTTTGTAGGATGTAGCTTGGCTAGAAGATTTTCCATACATTTATCTTTAAATTTGGCTGGTTAGACGGACGTCTAGACGCGGTTTTGCGCGAAAAAAATTACAGAGTTTTGACAAAGCACAAGTGAAAATTATGTCAGAAATCCTTTGTTTGATTTGCATTTTGCAAAATGTAGAATGACTTCTTTTTAATGTAAGCCAATCAACGTCTTACCTCTAGAACATTCTGACCTTTCCTAATTGACTGCAAAAATATTGCAGTTTTTGCACTCCACTCTTAGTTTAACCAAACAAAATTGTTCATTATCTTATATTTTATTAATTCACACCAACTGTTTTAAACCTAGAAATTTCAGTTACACAAAAAAGTTAGAAAGCTTTTAAAAACAGCTATATTATACCCCTTTGTTGTTGATTGAAAATAACATTAATTTCTTGTAAGTTTATGTACATAACAGAAAGACATGATAACAATAATATAAAAAACATTTATCTGAAACAAATTTTCCAAAATATATGTCTGGAAACCGAGTTTTTGCCAATAATAAAGCCCTTTTTTAAAAAAAGAAAAAAGAAAGAAAGATAGATAGATAGATGTCTTTCTTTTATAAGCTATTGAACGAGCGGACAAGGCAGTAATCCCACGGGAACGTCTTAAATTTTTGCAGCTGTAGTTTTTTTATTTCTTCTGTTAGAATTCCCGGAGAGTTTTTTTTAGTTCAGTTTTTGTTCGAAGACGCTTGTGCTGTGTGTTTGTACAAGGTAATAAAACTGCGAAAAAAGCTTAGCTTGTTCTAATTGTATCAGGTTTTTAAGACAAAGTGCAACTATGGCGCAACAACTCAAAGGTTCTCTCCGAAAAAGATCGATTTGCAACTGAATCTTGTTTGAGGTAAGACAACTTGGTAATTTAGAGAACTTAATTTGTTCACCTTCGATGCACCGTATCGAAGCAAAGATTGCGATATAACTTATGTTTTTATTGTTTGTGGAAAAATAACTCAGATAACTCAGCGAAATTATAGTCGAACCTCCACTAGAGGTTACCTCTTTCACTGCAAAGCAATAGCTAAGATTTTTCATCCTGAACGTGTGTTAATCGATCCGCATAATTTTTATTCCACGTGAAACGTTTGTCTATAATGACCAGGCTGTTAAACTGGACAGAACTTTGATGTAAGCGTAGATCAATGTTTTGGGCTGAAAATGTAACTTTAGTTGCCTGTGTTTACACAGACTACCTCAGTACGTAGTGAAAATGTTTTGCTTCGAAACTCGAGTGAGGTTTAGCTCGAAACACCCTGTTTGATACTCTGAGAATTGTTTTGGCGCTTACATGATCATTTCAAGTTCCTCTCCCCTAGCTCATCACCGAATATTTCAAAACCCACTTCCTGTCCACTTCTATTGACAGTTCAAACAGGGCAGGATTGTTCAAAGCCCAATTAAGCTAACCCAGGATTAGCGAGAAATAATATTATTTTATTTAACTTTTCGATGAGGTTTCCTGTTTATGTTGTTTGCTGTTTGTCCTTTAGTTTTGAGCTTAAGTAATCTCTAACTGCTCAAAACATAACCAGTGATATACATTTTTATACCAGAAAAATCAATTCTTGGGGCATCTTTTAATTCTGCCATAGTGCTAACCGACCGGCCCTCAGATGATTTTCAATTAACCGGTGCTTGCGCGTTACCTTCTGCTAATTTAACTTTAAAATTTAGAAGGAAGGTTCCTGAATTACTTCATGTTATGCTTAGCATGGCTACCAGTCGCCAAGGGATCGTTATTTGTTGTGCCTGATTGATAACTACAAATAGCGAAAAAGAAAAAGAAAAACTATCTGTCCTTCTTTTCGAGTGAATTAGCTTAATCGCACTCTAAAAAAAACTTGTTTAATAAATAAGATCATTAAAATAAAACCTCACTATCTGAAACAATAACATAACAATATTTTTGTACTGTGCTGTTCTTCAGGAGCATAATGGCGCAAGGTGGACGCCTTATTTTCACATTCATCCTGCAGTGCATTACGGTGTCCTTGGCCAATCAGAATCTTGTGCCAATTTTTATCTCGGAAATAGGTAAGCCCTTCATCACTCTGACGAGTAATCCCAATTTCAAAAGGAGAAGCTCTGGAAACGAGGTTGCGAAAGGGCCAACCTCGTTCTCAGGACTTTTCCCTTTGAAATTGGAAGGGGCGGTTAAAACCCTGGGAAAGAAATTGGCCCTTTCGATTGGAATCTCACGTAAGGAAACCTAAGGAGGCAAACGATGCTTTGAAGTGTCCACAAACGTGTTACGTGAAAAAAAAAACAATGACGAAAGAGTCTGCTGCGTTCTCGTGCTCGTCTTCGCAACGGTTGCTCGGATTATTTTCTTATTGGCTGATAAGAATCAGAGAACTTACTGAGTATTTTAACGACGATTTGTTGCATCAGTGTTTAATTAATTATTTTAGTCCAAGTGGCTTTCGTCTTAATGTGGTAAGAACAACAAAGTGGCATACACGGCGATAGCCGAGGGTATCACTGATGTTCTTTCCACGTTCTGACGCTCTTCTGTTATCAGTTACCGAACAGCGCACGGCAAAATGGAATCCACTTGTTTTATACAATACACAAACAAAAAATGGTAATGACGCTATCTATGCGTCTGTCCTCCAATTGATCATAAGTAAGAACCAATTAAAAATGCGACAATAATTGGACATATTATATCAATTAAATTTGACACTGTTCATCAAAGTTGACCTTTCTGCCATAGGTACTTTTCTTCGCACGGACCACGAAGAGGCGCAAGAAAGCTCTGTATTTGCGTGCGTGAAGCGATGTGTGTCGGCTAGTGACTGCAAGTCGATTAATTATAAAAAACAGGGCAGTGGAAATAATTGCTTTTTAAATAAAAAGAGCCGAAAAGAAGCAGGCGAGACAGCAATTGAGGCTAACCAAGACTTTGTGTATTACAACATTGATTATCACACTCAGCGAAGTGAGGAGCCTGAGTTTGGAACCTCAAACATTAATATGGTGAGTAGAACAACGAGAAAAAGAATTTGTTTCCAGTCCTTTATTTATTTATTTTTTTGGGAAAATATTGTTAAGCGATCTCTCTGCCGCTACTTAAGGTTCCCACTTCATTAAAAGAAAATTTCTAAAAGAAACTTTTTGCCTGAAGTTAGGACCAAGGCTGAGAGAAATTCTTCGGGAATCCTTAAAATGTTATGATTACCAAAGGTTGGAAAACTTTATCTGAGGTAACATCCACTTACGTATTTTCACAAATGTTAACGCAATCATGACATCTTCAATTCTTGCTTTAAGCCCACTGTACCACCAGTCGTGACTGTGGGCGCATGTGACTCCAGTCCCTGTCAAAACGGCGGAACATGTGTTGAACTCATTAGTGAAAACGGC